TTTAAGAAGTGTAGATCACAGTCTCTACTCATCCTGAGTGGCAAGCATTTTCATCAATAATCATGCAAACTCTTCTGGGCTGTCAGAGCATCCAGGACCTGGTGGTTTTCAAACACAACAGAGGCTAGGCTGTTGACTTCTTACTGAAGTGCTTCAGATGCATGTATGGTGCTATTACCATGGAGTGACTCAAAACTCTCTTTTCAATCTCATGAGTTCCGAATGTCAGGCAGAGCCCTGAGCATCAAAAAGAACTTAGAATTGTGATATACAAGTGGGTTTTTGATAATATCACATCTAGTATGTTTGCTTGGTACCACTTTATGAACAAAAGAGTCTAAGTTTGTAATTTGTCTGGCATTTAAAGTGGAACACCTGGTAACGAAGAGTGTCAGATAATTAGGTTCATAGTGTCCTGACCAGCTAGGTGGGAACCACTTGTGTACTTTATCACCACACACAATAAAAGACCAGTGTTATTTACAGATAGGGTCAGGTTGGAACCTGCGACCCCCCAGTTTGGAGTTTTCAGGGCCTCTTCTTCCTCATTGGCACTTCCGCAACTCCAGTGTTCATGTGTTCCCACCAGTCTATGGGAACAGAATAGCTTACGAAACATTTCATATTAAAGGCCTTTGGTCTTGTTCTGCAAGTTATAGGGCATAGTTTTGTCACTTAATCAAGTCAATCCAGACTTTTGCTCCATATACAATCTTTAGTGTTTGGCAACTTAACAATGGGAGCAAGTGAACTACCCTAAGTTGCACAGACCTGGCTTGTGAACCTTTCCTAACATTTGGTGATTTAACAATTGTTGACATCATGAGTGTTAGTGTCAGCACCATCTAAGAGTGCAAGAATGTCATTTTGTGGAGTCAAACACTAGGGTTTAATGGCAATATTGTCCTATTCTGTAACCCAGAAAAGATCCAGCATCGTCCCTTTTTTCAATGCAGAGGGAAAACAAATTCTTATTTTGGGGTGAAATTTCCTGAACTTTTTCAATCTGGAAGGCACATTGTGATAGATGCCTGGGTATGTATTTTAAAACAAAGACAAAAATACAACCCTTTGTCCAGCATTTGGAGTTTAAGACAATATTGTTACCTCCCAAACAGAGAGGTTCTTTCCCTTGGCAGGTATCAGTAAATAGACACAGCCAACTTGGTAGTTGGTTGTAGCAAGAGGATATTATTACTTGGCACAAGTCAGGAGCACACTGGGGATGATTCCCAAAGCAGTGTGTTGTTAAACAAAATGGTTGGATTGGTTTTCTACTCAGAGGGTAATGAGAAGTGATTTGATAAAATTCTATGATGGGGTGGTGCCAGGAAGCATGCCCTCACTGGACCCTGACCTGTGGTGTCCACTTCTTAATCCAGTCCTTGCTCCTCGGTCCACTCTGAGCACTTAGGTTCTACCTGTGGTTTCGCCCTTGATTCATCTAGGTATGCTCAGGTTACCCCCTTCAATCTGGGGGTTCATGACAACTGAAAAACAACTCACAACTTTGTTACATAAAAGTTGAGCCAGGTTGGTCTGGTGCTGTTACGATACCAGAAAATTGTGGGAACCTCCGATTTTCCTGAGTGAAGCAAAAACTTTGGTAATTGATTTGGGAGCATTGATGTTTTGGCCATGTTTATAATGGATTTGAGTGAAAAAGGAATAGAGGTAATAAGACCATCCCTGCTACGATTGCAGTAGATCAGATATGGTCTAACAAGTCTGAACCAGGCTTTTTCCATGAACAGGCTCTTCTTGAGCTGGTAACTATTTTGCACAAGGATCTAGTTAAAATTATACCTGTCTCTCTATGAATGAAGCTTGGGAATCATCTGTATTACATTAGAGCATTAAATGACTCTTCTGAAAATACTGTATTTCATACTTATGAGTTACAGTGAGTTTAATGTTCATTACTATATGCTCATATGCATGTCTCAAAAATATAGTGCTAAGTTGATAGCCTATAACTTCTTCTTCTTTTAACATTGTTGCTGGTTTGTTACACCACCATGAGATATAAGTGCTAAAATTTAGCACAATATTTGGAGCATTAATTCAAGCCATATAGAGCCTTATAAACTTAGAACTGCTTTTTTGATGTGTAGCATTTTCCTTTTCAGAGACAAAAAGGAAAGGCTACAAATCATGTTTATAATTTCCCACTGTGACAAATAATCAAGTATTTGAAATTTCCAAACATTGCTTTGTTAACTTTTAAATAGGATGCAGTTCTATACCTGTTTAGTAAGACCTGAAATCACCAAAGTGTGCATATGGAATAAACATGCAGAATAGTAGCCAATTCCATTTAACCTAATTATGTCCATATGCAATCTCCTACATCATATATGATCCTTCCAGGTAGATGAAGTTTACATAGGAAACCAATTATCGTGTATCAATTTTAATTACTTTTTCATTTTATTTTTTTTCTGTGCTCTAGAACTTATTCACAAGTGCATTTTTGAATACCACATAAATTTAGATGTCAAGTAGATATTTTAAATTTAACTGAGTATAACTTACACCAGAACTATATCTGGATGTATAAAAGTATTCAGATGTCTTATCAATTTACCAATTTTTTTTACCAGAATATTTTATTCTTATCTGTGTGTATAAAATACGCAACTTGTGTGTATGGAAAAATTATTCCTGACTATATGTCCTTAAGTACAAAATAAAATACTAGAGATGAAGACCAAGAAGAAAACTATTAAATAAAAGAGGAAGAAATTTGTTTGAACCTGTTGCCCCACACAAATTTCACAACATCTACCACTACCTATTAGGTTTGCTTTGTGTAGTATATACAAACCATTCTCTGTTTAAGTACATGTTTTAAATCCATACCCAAGCCAATCAGTAGTGGATTAATGTACTTCCTCTTCTTCTGAATAGACTCAAAATTATGCACTACAAACAGCCTGGATATTGGACTGTGAGAGATGAGCCAGGACACAAATTAACTGATTCCTTTTGTTCTTCACCCACTGGTAGGTCCAGCACAGTTATAGATTAGTTCCTCTGATTACTAAAGAAGAATAATGGAATTAGGCAAGTGGTTGGCGCCCCCTATAGATACATTTGTAGTGTTGATCCAGATAGCTTTAAAGATCCAGATTCCAGAGCCTTAGTTTAGCAATCAGAAGAGTAATTTTAGTACTTATATGGGTGGGATAACTTTCAATTGAAAAATTAATATTTGAATCAATATTAATGTTTCTACATGATCTATCATTAATCATTCTTACCAAAGAACAATTTTAATATTGTATCTCTAGGATTGCAGGTCTATTTATATGGGGATAGCTGTAAGTGATATCCTTTAGCAGCTTATACCTATGTTATTTCATATTTTGTGGATTCAATTCTTTTGTGGTTCAAAATCTCTAATCTCTGAAAGGGATATAAAATTCTACCTTCACTTAGGGAAGGTATAGTATTTCTTATTGTCTGTATAGCATTTCTTATTGTCTCTTATATTAAATTTTGATGTTTGACCCAGGCCATTTTGCCTTCACCATTTGGCCCAGCAAAATCTTTATCAGATTCTAGGGGAAATTAGTGTTATGAGAATTAATAGACCCAAATTAAAACTAACAGTAGTTAAAACTGAACACAGTAGAATTTGTTATTGGCTACAAATATTGATGGAAAAATCAAAACTTCTAGACAAAATTTAACCCTGGACCTGGGAAATGTTGACTTAATTTAAATAAATCTATAAGACAAAAACCTTAGTAATATAAAATATGATTAGTAAAACTTGACATGAACCCCAAACCAATGAATGAGTCCAATTTTACTGTGAATTATACATACAATAATTCTAGTATGATTAAAACAAAAATAGAAATATCAGAATATAAATGTGATAAATAGAGGATATGAATAAAAAATTAAAATTATTTAGTTGAATGAGCTCTAGAAAATAAAATATCAATGATCTATCATGATGGCATAATTCATACAAATATGTTTGTTTGCAATCATTTAAAAAACAAAACAAATGGTTTTCATGGTCAAAGGATTAGTATCACAAATATCCACTTTTTTATGAAAGGTGTTCAAGAGAGCAGAATCGAAATGTCTTCTATCCCTCTCATGTACAACATCATGGTAGTGGAGGCTTCTTTCTCACCAGGGTTACACTTGGTAATTGCCAGCTTATTTTTTTTCCTTTTTTCCTTGTGTTTACTTAATCATTCATATGAATACATCATTTTCAAGTTATTTCATATGGACATCATAGTGGCCATGTGAATTAGCTATTATCTGATTTTATAGCCCAAAGAAACAAAACAAGTTACCAAAGGACTCATACATAGTAGGTGGACCAACCACTAGAAACACAAACCATTCTAATTCCAACTTTAGGACTTTTTCTCTACATCACAACCACACCTGGGAAATACTGATGAACATATACTTAACCCGTAAAAGATTGTTCTTTGTTACTATAATTGGTAGTTAATATCACCCACTCTTCTTGAAACTGATGTAGGTTATGCCATATGACCAGTCCCCCATGAATCTGCATGACTTCATAATCCTTTGTCTAAAGTTGGATAACAAGGATTCTGTCCATAGGACCAGGATCCAGAACAAGTTCCCAGTTGTAGGATTGCTACAGAAAAACTGTATGACCTTGAGTGTGGAATTTCACTTCTTTGATCCTCAGTTTCCTCATCTCTACTATTAGGATGATCCTATCTACTCTGTTTGTTTTTCCGGATTGTTTTATTAATCAATAATAACAAAGCAGTAAGTTTCTAGAGATGAATGGCAAGATCTTCATCATTTTTAGCCATAGAACAGACTGTAGTCCCAGACAATATGATAAAGAGGAAAGAGCAAGTAAGATGAGATTTGAGAACATACCTTGTAGAATATAATTTCTGTAAAGAATACAAGGTGTGATTATTTTGATTGAAGACTATTATGCTTCATTGGAAAGACTTATCCTTCCTCCTTTGGTTTTCCCCTAGGACCACTGAGGTTCCTTTCCCAGACAGAGTCTGTCACAGCCTTCATGGGAGACACAGTGCTACTCAAGTGTGAAGTCATTGGGGAGCCCATGCCAACAATACACTGGCAGAAGAACCAACAGGACCTGACTCCCAGCCCCGGCGACTCCCGAGTGGTGGTCTTGCCCTCCGGAGCATTGCAGATCAGCCGACTTCAACCAGGGGACATTGGGATTTATCGCTGCTCGGCTAGGAATCCTGCCAGCTCAAGAATAGGAAATGAAGCAGAAGTCAGAATTTTATCAGGTATCGCAGTGCTCTTTATTCTTCTCAGAATGATATTCTCTGGGATAGTTTTAACAATAATTTTTTCTTTAACAAATATTTGTAATTGTTATAAGTTCTGTATTGTTTGCTGAGTTTTGTTTTCTGCCCCATTTCTTGCTAGGCATTAGATGAAGGTGTGCCAAAGCTGTTCTTATATTTCCGTGTCTTCTCATTGAAGTTTCTGGACAAAGAGTTTCCTCACCTTAAATTTGGGCTGATTTATTCATTTATTCATTCTTAATATTTAGTAAGTGCTTCTTTGTGCAAGGCCCATTACTAAGGATTTATTATGCATTATTTCATTTTCTTCTTATAATAGTCTAAGAGGTAGTTATTATTATCCCCATTTTTAAGGAATGAAGGATTAGCAACATTAAGAATTTTCCCATCCACGTGCGGTGGCACATGCCTGTGATCCCAGTGACTCAGGAGGCTCAGGCAGTAGGATTACATGAAACAAGGAGTTCAAGGCGGCCAGCCTGGGCAATACAGCAAGACCCCATTTCTACAAAAAATTAAAAAATAGCTGGGCATGGTGGCACACACCAGCAGGTCCAGTTGTTCGGGAGGCTAAAGCAGGAGGGTTGCTTGAGCTCTGGGTGAACACAGACTTATAGGCAATTACAATAAATACTTATTATGATTTATTTTATGGTTAATATTATGTGATTAAGATTATGATAAGGAAATTTGTTTCTCTTCATCTCTTTATCTTCCTTTCTCTTTGGCAAATCTTTAAGACTCTGATTTCACTTTCCTCTCCTAAGTAGAAATTAGATTGAATGGATGTTCCCTCAGATCTCTTTTCTTCCAATAACTGCTTCTATTGTATATCTATGTAATATCTACTTTCACATTGAGTCTCACTTGTAAGGCTTACTTAAACTCACTTGTGAGTAATTGGGACTGGATGCTTATCCAAGCCTGGTGGGCTCCTATCTCTGCACTCTTACTGTGAGTAGTTTTCACACGTACTTCAGCTCTGCAGACAGTAACATTCCTAACTCATTCTAAAAGCAAACTGGCAATTTGATGGAGTTTCCAGGTGCTTTAATAAGAACATCTCTAAAATCTCTAACTCCTTTGTGTATTCTCTCCACCATTAGTCACAGGGCTACTGACTTAAGTGTGTCAGTAACCACTGGCAACACTGATACACTTCATCCACCAGGAAGTGACAGATGCAAAGGTAGCATTTATTCTGAACACATACATGCACTTATTTAGGCATCCATTACATACACGCCAATTTTAAATATTTATATTCACATATCATTAATAATGTATCTATTGAGTGTATAACATAGGAAGCCAGGGTATACCACATAGAAAATTGGCAAGAATATGTCTGATTATGTTAATATGACAGAGAGGTCTGTTTTCCAGTGGTACTAAGGAATCAAGCTGGACTAATCAAGTATTAAATTTGAAATGGAACATTTTGAAAGACATAGAGACATAATCACCAAATTGCCATTTACTTTTATTTGTTCACCTTGTAAAACACATTCGCATTGTAATCCATGGAGATTTATCTAAAACAAAATTTCATGTTGTTAATTTGGCTGAAATTGAGAATACGTTGGTGTACCTTGGAAGTGCGTGAGCATTTCTTACTTGAATGGAAACTATTTTTTTTTTACAACAAAATTACATCTATTGAGAATTTTTAACTGAGTTCTGTGAATTCAAATATAAACTTCATAAAGAAATGATGAGCTGAGGTAATCATTTTGGACCCATTTGTCCTAAAGTTCATAAGTTGGTTTGTAGGTCAGATACCCAGATTCACAATAAGTACAAGATTGAGTGAGAGAACAGAGGAATGAATGAATGGTAAATCCTAATTTCTGTTAATTACCACTTATCATTCTCTCATTTTTAAAATGATGCTAATCCTTTCTGAATCAATTTCTACTTTCTGTAAGTACCAATTTGAGGCAGTGATAAATTAAATACATACACTACTTATTCTGTATCCTAACTCTTATTTAACTGGGAAAGATAGAGTTAATTAACATAGAAACCAATCATATTATTAACATGACTTTAGGAACATTAAAAGTTGTATCAAAATGTTTAGAACTCTTAAAGATATATATTTTTCCATAGTCACTAAAATACCATGTTGACAGTTGACGTTATTTATTTCTTGCTTTAGTTTGAAACATAAGCGCTAACGTGAAGTTTTGCAACTTTTTCCAACACTTGTGTATATCACAATTCATCAAGAGAATGTTTGAATTTCTATGTATGTGTTTATAGAGCATTATCAAGTTCTAAATAATATTTAATTTAGTGTACATTCAATGCTATATAAAACACATTTCAAGTTGTCTCTTTTATGTATCAGGTATATAATATCACCAAATAACAAATATATAAAATTTATATTTTTTAGCAATCAGACAGCAGTTAGAGAGAACTGTCTTTCAGCATTTTCACTTTAATCATTAAATAAATATTTATTCAATGAACTTTTGAATGAATCATATACCTGCCATCTTACTGGTTGCCAGGAATGAAACATTGGAAGTCTATGCCCTAAAACAGCTTACAATCCAGTGGAGGAAATAGATAAAGCAAGTAGGCTGTGGTATGAAATAAGAGAACAGAGTATTATTGCCCTGCATAAAACAGAAATACCAACGTTCCAATCTTAAAGAACAAGTAGTAGGTAGGCAAAGAGAATTACATACTAGAAAAAAAGAGCAGTGTGAGTAAAAAAATAGAGATCAGATGCTTTTCAGGGGAACTGCACATATTCTGTTTGGCTCATAGGGACAGGAAATGACAGAGGGGATAAGCTGGAAGGAAGAGAGGTAAACTGGGTAGAAAGATAAGGTGGAATACCCTGGCATTAATCCTGGGGAGAATTAACTAAAAGCTGTTGCTAAGGCTGTATCAGAAGGCTTTTGTAAATGAAGATGGTTGTGGAGATATTGAGAAACCGGTCTTGGAAACAGATCAGATGTCGCTTATGAGTGAGGACATGAAATCCAGACCCCGACAAAAGCTAGTTTATGGCACTTTTCACTGACACTGGCAGTGAAAGAGTGGTGTTATTGTGTTTAAAATAAATTATAGATTTTTAAAAGAGATTTTTCTGTAACAGTTTATCTTTCCAGATTAAAAGAATTATTGTTTCATTCATAGGCAGGAAAATCAGTAAGTAATTGTAACTAATTAGTAACTTTTGATTAATATTTAAGAGAAATGGAATTTTTACTTATGAGAAGTTATACATTTTTAACAGAGTAAGTTAGTAGTAAACTGTTATAAAGGATATTTTTGAAATATCAATAACAAACACTAAGTAAAAGGTGAGATGTTTTAAAATGTCATGGCATATGTGATGGAGAATTTATGATGGATTGAAGGGGAATTGTGATTGTCAGGTTCAATTTATCCTTGTCTCATTACATCTGAGTGCCAAGCAGGAGACTGAATCGCAGAATTATAAATCTGCTTGGGGTTGACTAAAATAACTAATGAAAGAAATTTGACTAAAGCATATTTTGGCTGATTTTTCTCCATAATTGTTATTTTTGTTGAAATAAATATTACCAGAAACTATCTCAAAATTCATCTCGTTTAAAAGAAAAAATTCCATTTTTAGCTTTGAAATCAAGAGTTTGAAACTTTTATTTATCACTAAGAATTTATTACTAAGTCCATGGTGCATTAAACATTTTAGTTTTACCAAATGTTACTTGTATTTCAAAACAAAGTAAATGCTACTACAATCTATTTTTATAATTTCTACAAGATAATGATCTACAGGGGATAACAAAGAGACATATTCTTTGCTGTTTAAATGTATCATCAAGTTAGGTAGTTAATTCATGTACCCATATGACTAACATAAGGCTAAATAAGGGCAAATTCAGGTAAATATAACTAGTTCCAAATGAATGTAGACAAAGAATAAATCAATTCTAGGTGGACAATTTGGAGTCTTTATAGATAATTACTTTTCTAGGTTATAAGGAGAGAACCTTTTGTAAAATGATTCTAGTAGATGATAAATCTGAAATGAGAAGTTGAGCTCCCTGGATGGAGAGTTTGGAATCCCATGTCTAGGAATTTAGACTTGATTCTATTAACATTATTAATAGGTTGAGAGTCTTTGAATGTTTTTGAGCAATGGATAGTCTGGCATAAAAAAGTGCTACAATGGAGCACATCAGCAAAGCTCAGGGTTTCAAGATGAAAATCAAAATATAGGGGAACCCATCACATTTTTCTTGCCCTGCCTATCATTCTAAAGTGACCAATGATCTCCTTCTCACCATATTCACAAGATTTTCTTTCCTATTTTTACCCTTGACCTTGAGTTATGTTAGATATTGATTATATTATATATTATAATATATTATTTTAGATATATATTAATCTATAATATTATAAATATAATATTATATCTAACATTATAATCTCTTAGCTGCCATTCCCTGAGAGATTACTGTTTTCCATAAAGTCAAAGACAAAAACAATATACTTGGGATCGTCTTAAACATAGAGGCATGGATATTTTTTGGAAAGGAGAAAACTTGTCATTTCCCAAGAGTCTATTATATCCAACATGTGATCTATTCCACATTTACTCAGAATATGACATTTACCAGCCCTGGGTGGGTAGACTGAAGGGTCAGGCGATCTTTTGTGACCTCTTATACAAACAAGAAGGCTTCCCTAAGGGTGTGCGAAAGCCAAACTCATAACCTATGAAACAAAAGTCACAAAAAATAGTGACAATACCTATAGAGCTTGCTTCCTTCTCTAGTCTTGTTTGACATCGATTTATTTTTGGAGCATAAAAAAGGATATGTAGTCATAAGTTATGGGCATACCTTTAGTGATTCAACATTGCCTATATAGGAAATAATCCAAATATTTTGATTCATTATCAAAAACAGGAGCCAGAATCAAAAACTCATTACTTCTCTGGAAAGTTTTAAATATTGCTTTATGCATAG